TAATCAAATTTATCGAAAAACAGATATATCATTAAAAATCAGATTGTTCACAGATCTGTAAAACATTTAAATGCTCATAAATACACATTATTACTTACAGAATGATGAAAACCGAGAAATCAAATCTCTGATAACACGAGTTCAACAAGAACCGCTCGAACAATCTAAAATCATAAAATAATAATATGTCTCAATTTATGTCTCTAATATATCTAAAAATTGTATACATTAAATTCCCTAATCAAAGAATCAAATAAAATTTTAGATTTCCGTATTGAACCCATACTAGAGTTACTAAAGTCCCGAATTAGTCAAATAAGTTATGAATTGAGTTCCAAAGTTATGAACCAATCTTATAAAATATTAAAACTAATTTATTTTATCCAAAATTATAATTTAATATGCGGTCATGAACTAGCTACTAGAGGGTTGAACCAGTCATTAGAAGGCCGAACCGACCGTGAACCAAGCTTTAAATCATTGAACCGGCCATAACTCAATCTCTATAATATTGAACCGGCCTTGAATCAATCTGAGAACTACTAAACCGGCCTAAAAAGTCACTAAACCAGCCTCTTATATGCTGAACCGGCCGATTTTATGCATAATTTCTCTTGAATCGGGCTTAAAATAGTATTAGTTTTCCTAAACCGGTCTTAAACCGAATAATCCATTTATTGATCTAATTTTCTATGTCTTGAACCGGAAGAAAACCGGTTAAATTCCATGTGAACCGGCCTACTTTTCATTTGTTCCTTTATTTGTTCTCCTCCTTTTTTTTTTCCTGATCTAAATCTAGTATCTAGTTTTAAACCATACCCAATAATCCAAGCCATATAACCCTGGCCCAAACCTTCATAAAATTTCCTAGCCTGGCCCAAAACTCTAATCCAATCCCTTTGCTTAGACCCGAATGGTTCCCGGGTTGTTTCTTCTTAACCCAGCTATCCATCTTATTAGAACAGCTGAAATGTGTACCGGGTTCTGATTTGATCACTGTAACAACTTAATCCATGCTTGTTCGAGCTCGGGCTATGGCTTTCCTCTCATCGACACTCATATAGACCTTCTTTGTGAAAATTTGTTTGAATCTTTCTCTCAGCAATGGCTATTGTGGAGTTCTCTATCTGTCGCTGCCAGTGACAATTTCAGTTCAAAAATTTCGATGAACTCGAGGTAGAAAGTAAAATTTACATAGGGCTTCTATTCTATTTCTCTTGTTTTTGTACGTATGTGTGTCAATAGAGATTTAATCAATAAAATCCTTCCAATTTTGCCAGATTCCGATTCAAGTTGCATAAAAGAAATGTGATTCTATTCTTAGAATCCAACTTTCCAGATTTTCAAGATCTGGTCCACGAATTTCTATGACTGTTCTGTTCAGGCCTTTAAAAATTTTTATTAATTCAATTTAATCCCTAATTGTTTTAATTTGACTCTTAACTCTATGTTTCTTTCATTTGGGTCCTTTTAGGTTTCTAGTCTTCTAATAATACCCCAAATTTTTGGGGTATTAGAAGAGTTCTCTCCTCTAATATGGTAAAGATACTTATTTGTTATTGTTGGTTTTTTAATACTAATATTATTTTTTATTTATTAAAATATAACTTTTTAAATTATTTATTAAAATATAAATTTTTAAAATTAATTATCAAAATGTGATAAACATTGGAAGCTGGTATTAATTTCATAATTTGAACTCTTTTCTATTTTTGTTTTGAACTAAAACGAAGTCACTTCCACTGCAATTAACTTCTCTTCAACACTTCTTTTTTTAAATCCAAAGAAGAGAAGTCGAATCCTCTCAAATCGACTTTTCTTCTTTAGTTTTTATTTTTTCTAAATTTTATATTTTATAAATTTAATTATAAATAAAAATATAAAAATACTATATATTTCATGAGTTCTTATTTTACATTTTTGTTTATAAATTAAATTTATAAATTATAATATTTTGAAAAAACAAAGAAAAATACAAAGCAAAAAATGTAACAAAGCCAATTTCTCTTCATTACAATTTTGTTTTATATATTAAAGAACCCTTCATTACATTTTTTAGTTTTATTTTCTTACTTTTTTTTTTTTTTGTAAATTTTAATATTTATAGATTATTTTATAAATAAAAATATAAATTAAAAACTTAAAATTGAAAATTATTTTTATATTTTATTTATAATTAAATTTATAAATTATAAATCTTAGAAAAGAAAAAAATAAAATTGAGATTAAAAGCCTCCCGTTGAAAAAAAAAATTCAAGTCAAAAAATCAATTTTGTTAAAATCGACTTTTTAATGTATAAAATTTTAATTATATTTTAATAAATAATTTGAAATCATAAATTTTTTTTAAATAAAAGAAAATGTTAACTTGGATGAAACCATCGCATTAGAACAATAAAAAAATTAAGGGAAATTTAAGAGGAAAAGAAACGGAGGATGACGAAGTGAAAGAGGGAAAGAGGCTTAACTCCAACCTGCTTGCAGTAATCCACATTGGTCCAGCAAATCTCATCCCCGATCATGTCTACTGGCCAATGACGGCTTGGCGTGATGGCCGAAACAGACGACGTGACCACTATTTGTGCCTTCGATTGCAGCTGCCAAGAGCTCCCTCTGCGATATGCTTGCATACAGCAGCGACATTAACACGAGAAAAGGACACAACACGAATTTATAGACACGATTCACTCTTATAAATTCTTTGTCAATGATTTTGATAATATTTTGATATATCAAGAACCAATTCAAACACAAGAATCACCGATAAACGAAGTGCGACCTTTTAGATACTCCCGGATTAAATATGAGATGGACTTCGAGATCTTGAACTGGACCAACTATGACGGGAGAAGCAAGGTGGAAGACACCCGCGGAACCACTGCCCATCTGGAAGAGTCGAAGGCCCGATTCAGCTCCTTCTAGGGCTTTTAGGTGTTTGATTTCTTTCCCATCGTCTAGAAATTGCAAAGAAGTTCATAGCATTACTAAGTAAATTGAATTGATCCATTAATTCAGGAAGATGCACTGAATTTAAAGTAGCTAATAAAGGGGAGTAACTAATATCTGGAAGAGTCGGAGGTCCGATTCAGCTCCTTCTAGGGCTTTTAGGTGTTTGATTTCTTTCCCATTGTCTAGAAATTGCAGAGAAGTTCATAGCATTGCTAAGTAAATTGAATTGGTCCATTAATTCAGGAAGATGCACTGAATTTAAAGTAGCTAATAAGGGGGAGTAACTAATATCTGACGGTGGCATGGACAATTAGCCACCGTCGAGGAGGAGGCTGAAGAGCCACGACTCGATGCAGCCGCTGCGTCCGGTCACGTACACCACCTCCCCTTCTTTCAGCGACATTAGCCTCTTCGAATCTCTCGCTCGACTAAGTTCTTCAAAATTTCAGTCTTCACCATCTTCCGGACCTTGTTTATGGCCTCTTTCCAGCCCCAAAGAATCGTAATTCTGAGCAGAGTTGCTCGCCGGACTTCCGCGTCACTCAGCCATCAGCTTTCGTTTCTCCTGTCCTAAGCGCTGGGGTTCGTAACTGATGGAGTAAATTATACATCTAGCCCCCTAATTTTATCTTAAATTTTATTTTGATCCCCAATAACTTCAGTTACAACACATTTGGTCCCAATATTTCAGAAGTGCAGCATATTTTTGCCCCTCTAACCATTTTTTACGAAAACTCTAATTTCTAGCCAGAAAAAAAAATGCACACTATTGCACATGTGAGAGGTGGGCGGGGGTTTAAGATTAGCAAAATAACCTCCTTTTTTTATTAAAGCATGCCAAAAAATAAGGATTGGCAAACCAATTCAACGAAGATTTAATTATATAGTTTCTTCAGATTTAATTATATAATTATATTACTTGAACTTTTTGTCCAATTTATTATTTAGTGTACTAAATATTAAAAAAAGTTAAATATAGATAAATAATTTATTCTTCTCCACCCTTATACCAAACAAGCCCTAAACATATTAACTTTTAAACTTGTTGATGTGTCACAATTAAACCATGTGTGGCAAAAGTGTAATTTTCCCTAATTAATAATTACATAAATAGCAAAAAACAAAAAATTACTTCATAAAGTGATTATAAGGTGGGGACATCCAAACAGTTACATAAATAAGCAATAATACTTTAGTATTAACTCTACGATTGCTTTTCTTATTTCTGCCTTTTTAATAATATTTGGTCATGTTTTATATTTACTAGTGTTAGTTAAATTAATTTTTATTTTGACCCACTTCTGTCTTATAAAAATTTTCCCTTGCTGATGTATGCATCATTGGCCTTTGCTAGTTGTTTAGGATTTTTTTTTTCTTTTGTCCAATAATCAATTTAAAATTTTTTTTATTTAATTTTCTCTAAAATGTCATTACGTTCAAAAATGATTTTTCGAATAATTCAGATGGATGAGTAGCGCCGGATGATCGCTAGGATAGATGACTTTTGAGTTTTCATGTGACATTTTTGGTCTCCTCCCCTCCCCAAAGTTCTTGCATTGATGCTTTCACTGATAGTCTGCCCACTTTACCGTAAGAAGTGTAAAATTGATCCTCAATTTCTTTCACAGTGCACTGACCAAAGATGTTATCAACTAGCCACATCATCTCTCTCATTCATGACACCAAACACCGCAAGGCAACGAGAAACTGGCCTTCAACAGTTAAAACAAGAACCCCCCAATTTCAAATTGTTTTTTTTATATAATTTTCTCTCAAATCTCTTTATATTAAAAAATTATTTTCGAATAATTTCAGATGATCGCTAGGTTAGATAATTTTGAGTTTTTAGGTGATCTTTTTGGTCACCTCCCCTGCCCAAAGTTCTTGCATTGATGCCTCCACTGATACAGTCCGGGCCACTTCCATATATTCTCCAATTTTACGCAAACTGTTTCTTGAAAATATATATTCCACAATTTACAGGAAAGAATCCTTCAAACCCACAAGATAATTAGATCAGTGGCAGGGCTGCTAAAGGAAGTTTTTGTTTACTAGATAAATCCTTTGCTCTTCAAACTGTCTACTGCATCCCTGATAATTTGCTCCATGGGAATGAATTGTAAACCCAAGTCCATCAGCTTCTTAGATGCGTTCTTGGCCCTTAATAACCCTGGTTGAGTATCCTTCGGCAGCCTTCAAGCAGAAACAAAAAAGAATAAAAAAAGAAATATGTGTAGTTAAGCATTGGAATCAAGATAACCCACACCCCCCCACCCCCCAAAAAAAAAAAAAAATGCATCACCAAAAATTAATGCTTGCACGCCCAGGTTGATACAGTATCATGTATCAATTCATTTATCCTTCAAATCATAATTGACTAGTCAATAAACTGTATGGCAGGTCATCTAGGCTTCAGATGCCATTACCACAAATCCAATCAACTTCCTAGCTACAAGACCTCTAAAATGGACGCAGTGCAAGGCAAATCCAAGAAATAAGGGGAATCAAGTCACATTACCTCGGGACGTTGTATTCAGGATAAAGTTCTGCAACCTTGGCTGCAAAGTCACCATAATGTGATATAGCTTCAACACACAAGTGCCTTCCAGTTGCCGATGTATTTTCGTAAACCAATATGTGTGCTAGGGCCACGTCTTTGACATGGATAGATCCCATGAAAAAGTTCTCATATGTTTCAGTGCTACCTGACCAAATATAAAGAAACTATGCCAGTCCTATGAATAAGAAGGTAGCACAGTGCCCATTATCATAATTATTTTTTCTTGAAAACAATAACCAGATACGAAGGAGAAAACATAATGCAGCTTTATGCTTATATAATAATCATTCATTTCTGGTAAAGAAACATGAAAAATGAGAACATGTGTATTTTAGACTGCGCATGCTTTCAGTCTAGCTGACAATATCTTCTTAATTCAGGTTTGTCTAGTGCAATGCCCCTAACAGGTATATCCAACTTATTGCCAAACTTGTGAAATAGCAAACCATGAAATGTATATGTTGGTACATTTAAATCATTTGCAATGAAAACAGAACTGAGTTTGTCTGTTGTCTTTCCCCACAAAAACAAATTTTTCTTTTTTTTTTCCTCCATTTTTTTCTTTTTCCTAGAAGGTAGTAGGGGGAAGGGGAGGAGTTTTAGAGCCTTTCTCAAATCTACAATCACAAACCAATTTCATTGAAACCTCCATCAAATTGTTACTTTCTAAAGAACTTACCCTTAATAAGGCCAAGTAGCATCAGCATGCTTGCATTAAGGCCCGGGGGCAGAACAGGGCCCATGACAGTTCCAGGATTCACAACAACCACATCCAAACCTTTTTCCTCGGCAAATTCCCAAGCTGCTTTCTCAGCTAGTGTCTTAGAAAGTGGATACCATAACTAGCCACCAAGAGTTAAGATAAAAACATCTTATAGTCCCAAATCAAGAAACCAATATGAAATGTTCAAATGCTGCTTAGCATAGAGGAACAAAAAGGCTGTAATGTAGAAATCAAAATAAAACTGAAAGATAAAGTTCTTCCTAGTTCGCACAATAATGTAAAAGCATGGCCAAGAAAACCAAACCTAATTAAGCCTAATGTAACCGTTGATTCCTGGCCAGTGGGTTAACATGAGGGCCCATGAAGGAAAGAGAACTGGTTAATACCAGAGCAATCTGAGAGACAGAGAGCCAATAGAGAAGAAGTGCCTTTGTGAGGAGAAAAAAAGCTGCAGGTCCGAGGAAGATGAAACAGAGTGGCAAAGAAGGAATGGATGGTGCCTGAATAAGGTAACCCATGGACCATGTCCATTATAGTATCCTTTACTTAACACTGGAATCTACGATTGAAGTATAGCATTTGGGTTGAATTAATTAGGATACACAATGAAAGGTTTATTTCCAAACTTCATCTTCAATAAGTGTTATTTCAAAAACTTTCTTTTTATCCCAAATCACGTGCTTTTCTTGGTAGAATTAGAACAGCAAAAAATAAAAAAATAAAAAATAAAAAATAAAAATTGCTAGCCTTATGGATAATTTCATTCCTTCACAAGCAAGATCATGTCCTAATTATGAGCTTGTATACATGCTACTGCTACGACAGCTGGTGCATTTGCCCAAAGGTGTCCTAAAGCTCCTTCACCTAACTATAGTACAAAATCATCCCCAAAGATCTCAGTTAGAGCAGGCATATGTTAAACATAAATACCCAGCACAAAATCATCCCCAAAGATCTTGGTTAGAGCATGCATATGCTAAACATCAATACCTCCTGAAGCCACATGCAGAACACCTGGCATAGAGACCCAATCTTGAGTGAAATAAGTACCTTGGTTTCGATCTTTTTCAAAATTTCTTTGGCTCAAAATAAAACACATTCTCTATAACACATAAATGGTTATGAATTCACATTTTCATAATTTTTGGTAAAATTAAGTACACCATAGAGACACAGTTTTTAGTAGATAATCCCAGTTTAGATTTGATAGTATATCTCAATAGGGGACAACCTATTCTGTGGAAATGGGCTATTTCAATTCTACAGATATGATATAAGGGTGCATTCAATCCTTGTGTTCATAACCTTGAGGTCACAGGTTCAAATCATGTCTCTGCAAAACCCTTTTCTTTTTTTAAAATACGTTTGACCCTATCGTGGCCAACTTTACTAAATACTTTATCATTTATGATCTATAACTTTCCGATATGCTAAACAATACCCAAAAAATAGATTACAAAATAATAATCAAAAGATCCAAATCTAATCAAGAATAATAGAGATTGCAATACTAACAAAGATTCTCTGGTAACTTTATAATCGGATTTGATTTGCACCATCCACAGGCAAAGAATGATGCTCTGATATCAAAAATATGATTTATAATTTTTCGGAACACTAAACAATGTCCGAAAAACGAATCACAAAATAATAATCAAAAGATCCAAATATAATCAACAATAATAATAAGAAAAAACTAATTTACAAACTAAATGAAAGCCAAAAGCATTTTACAACCTAAAACCAGAAAAACGTATTTAAACCCTAACAAATAATCAAGACCAACCCCACGTTCCTTCCACCTATTTATCTCGAACCGCTAAAATGTCTCCAACTCTTCACCCTAGGATGGCTGAAATCAGTTATTGAATGGTTGATTCTTGTCGAAGTGAGAATCTCCAATTGTAAGACAATTGCCAAGTGCTTTCAAGAAGCTTTTGATGAGTCTTCAATGAGATTTTTTTTGAATTTGAATAATTTGGATGCTTTGGAAGGGACCCTAAACCTCTCTTTTATAACCGAAGGAGTCTTAGGAGATGCAAGAGTCCTTAGAAGGTTTTAGAACCCTAAAAATCATCAAAAATTAGCCGCAATGCACTGTAGTGGGCTTTGGTGTGCTATAGCGCACTAATTCCAATGAATAGTGTGCTACAACGCACTATAACCCCGACTACAATAACTACTATAGTAACCTCTGTTTTTTAATACAACACGCTAATTCCAGTGAATAGTGCGCTACAGCGCACTACAACCCTAGCCACAATAACTGATATAGTGACCTCTTTTTTTATTAACAAAACCCTCTCACACCAATCTTCCAAATGGGCATTCCCAAATCCTAAACCTCTCAAAGACCCTCCCAGATCATTTTAAAATGAAAGAAACTACTTCACCCTGGGCGGATAGCAAGAATAGAACCCGCATCTTCTCCTAGGCAATGAGAAATTTTACATTCAACCATATTCACATTTTGTTTGTTCTTGATATGCAATGTGTCCACACAGGTAAGATAAATGTCCTAATTATATTTGTGTGGTGCCAAACCAGAGACTCTTCAAGGCAATTCCCACCACATATATGTATGAGTAAAGCACACATAACGGAAGCACAAACTATGTGAAGACTGCACGTCTGAATGTACAAAGTTCAGTGAAATCTCTCTTAATTCTGATTCGCCTGCTCAGCAAAGCATCATTGGAAATGAGCAGTGCCAATTCTATCCATTACACATCAAGCCATTTTACTCCTGCATCTCAGAAGACAGTGGTGGAATTGTATACTAGGTCACCTTTTGGCCAGCTGGATTATTAGTTCAGAAAGGCCACAAGCAGTAGGCAGTCAGTCCTTAATGCACTGTCCACAGTTCACATGATCAGAAATCCAAATGTGCTAGACCATGTATGTGAAAGGGTGAATCTAAAAGGTCCTGTGAGGAGGGACTTCGTTGGGCCTTTTCCATGGCCTAACACCGTGCTGACTTGAACATTTTGACTGCTAACAAAAGTGAATTGTAAGAGTATGACATCTACAACGAAAGAACTGAGTCTGACATTTTCTAGAAAATCAGTTTTGTGCTTTCGTATTTAGGAAAATACAAAGAGATATTTTTAAGATGAGACTGAGTGCCTCTCATCCCATTCCCATCGGAAAACAGAAGTTTGAAGTGCATATATTAGTTAGAACCGGCAAACGAATGTCCACATCCGGTCGCACTTTGTTCACATGAATAGACAGCTATTCCAGTATTTGATTTTTCTCCAAATAACAAGAAATGATGATAATGATGAATATATGGTCCATTTTGCCATATAACAATCAATAGGGGCATTCAACAAACCGTTTAGACCGTATAAACTGAATCAAACTTAACCAAACCGTGTAATTTGATTTGATTTAATATTTGATATCTAGACAAATCGTATAAACCGAACCAAATCATATAGTTTATATATATACAAAATTAAAAATACTATCTCTCTGTATATATAATATATTTTTATTATTTAACTGTACATTTCTCCTTTTTGTTATCTTTTATATTTATATTCATTTTAATAATTTATTATTTTTTATTTTTAAAATATGATTTCTATTAGTAATAATAAATTCTGTAAAATGATATACATATATTTATTCTAAAATATATAACTACTATAATTAATAAATAAATAATAAATTTATTAAGTTAAATATGTTAAAAAAAATAAATGACTAATTTTTAAAAAAATTATGTCAAAATTTTTATAAAAATAATGAATTTAATCCATTTTATTTTGTAAATCACATATCGTGATTTAAAAGTCAAACCGTAAAACATAATTTGATTTAATTTATAAAACTTATAAACCATCAAATATAATTTAATTTGAATTTAAACGCAAAACCAAACTAAACCAAACCAAACCAAGCCAAACTAAACCAAAACCAACCATGAACACCCCTGACAATCAAACAAAATGTAAGTGGTAAAAACAAGGAGATTCTTACTCCCTTCTTCTTGCAATATTCTTCATCAGTCCAGCAATCCTCGTTCTTGATCACGTCGGCGGGCCAGTTAGGGCTTGGTGTGATGGCCGATATAGAAGAGGTTACCACCACACGCCGAACCACCAACTCCTTAGCGGCAGTTAAAACATTGTTCGTCCCCTGAATTGCCGGATCCAATAGCTCTTTCTGCCACTCACACCAAATAATACGTGTTAAGCACATCGAAATGATAATGAAATCAAACAATGGTAAACGCCAGTATATACGTAAATAAGTACAACAACCGGACCTCGGGATCTTTAACTTCATCAACTATGCATGGAGAAGCAACGTGGAATACGCCGACGGCGCCCTTGACGGCCGCGAAAATCGAGGCGTAGTCCAGTAGATCCATTTGGAAGAGCCGAAGACACGATTCTGCTCCGTCTAGGGCTTCTAGATGCTTCGTTTCCTTCTCATCCTCTGTTTAAATATAGGAACCGCAACGTTTCAAAGAAGAAAATGAATTAGTTCTTCGGCAGAAAATACGAATCATTCATTCAATTGAAAATTGTAATCAGACAGGAAAGAGATAGCGAGAGAAAGAGCGCTACTGAGATCTTTGACGGTAGCGTGAACGGTGTAGCCACGGTCAAGGAGGAGGCGGACGAGCCAGGAGCCGATGAATCCGCTCCCTCCCGTGACGCACACTACCTCCCCATCTCTACCTGACATTCTCGATTTTCTTTTTTCTTGGTTTTTCTTTAACAAAAATCTTGATCTTAGCTCTAGCCAGCCACTTCTCAGAGAACAGAGCTCACTCTCGACTATTGGACCAGAGATAAAGAAAGATAGAGTGGATCTGAGCCACGTGGCATGTTCTCGTGCATATAACGAATTTTTTCTGGTAAAGTTCTTTATTAAAGAATAATGCAGAACTAATCTTTTTACAACATAATATTATTGAACCTATAGTTCGTTGGCTAATAAGATGATAAAATTTTGCGGAGAAATTTGTAATAAAAATGATAATATCACGGTCCAAGAATAAAAGTTATGATTGACATTAAAGTTAGAATAAAACTCAATTTTATAAATTTAACAATTAATTTAAAATTAGTTAAATTAAAATTATATATAATCAAAACAAAATCTGAATCAAATATAAGTTAAGCTGTTAACACATAATAAAAAAAATATGCCTGTAATTAAATAAAGTTATCTAAGAATTTCAGAGTATAAAAGCTAACAAAAAACTGAAATAATTAACTTCTCTGATCAAAAGTAAAAAATAATAGAAATAATGAACGTCTTTTAAACAGTAAGATTCAATAGACTAACAAACACTAAATCTAAAAAAATATAAAAATGAGTCTACAGATCTAATAAATAATAATATATATTTATCAAAAGAAGGAACATGTATACAAAAATAACAGAAAATATAATTTAATAAACATACATAATTGAGAGAGTTCGAAATCTAGAAGTAACAGAAATCAAAAATCAAAACGATGATACTTAGTCCGCCAAAATAAGAATGACAACAATTAATCTATCGGAAATCGGAACAGTGACACCTTATTCTGTCGGTATATAAATATACAAGTCAATATACCCAGTCTAATGGTTACTATCGTTAGTTACAATGTTCTAAAAAATGAAACTCCCTGAAAATAGTTTTCCAATAATAAATAAAATTAGTTTAACAAAATTTTTCCATTTATAGATGTAAATAGAATCGAATATAAATAACAAATAAATTTTCAAAAACAATTATAAAAATAACATACATGTCCCTTGCTGAGCATTTATAACAAATTTAATTCAATTTTCATAAATTAAGTATATCAGCTAAAAATTATAATTTTATAACAGATATGAAAAACAGTAAGTACTCATAAATACATATTATTATTCATAAAAATTAATGAAAATCAAGAAATTTGATATTCGATGATACGAGTTCAACAAGAACCGTACAAAGAATATAAAACAATAAAATGTCTTATTTTAGGTAGCTAATATGTTTAAGAACTAAATAAACAAAATCTTTTGATTAAAACCTAAGTAAATCTCTAGATTTTCATGCCTAAAACCTATATTAAGTTCTTAAAGCTCCAAATCGATCAAATAAGTCATCAACTGGGTTCTAAAATCTTAAGCATAGAACCGGTTTATTTAACTTATAATCTAATTATCAAAGTATTAAACCAGACTTTAACTAATCATTAGAGTATTGAACCAGCCATAAACCGAATATTAGATAGCCGAACTAGCAATGAATCGACCTATACAATACTGAATCAGCCATTAACCAGTCTCTAGTGCACTGAACTAGCTTCCAATGTAGTGAACCAGACATAAAATTTACTAAACCGGCAATTAACACACTAAACTAAGCATGTAACACACTGAGCTGGGCTGAATCAATATTGAATTGGTCTATCCAAACGCTGAACTGGTCCCTTATCACCTAAACTGATACTAAATCGATTATTTAAACCCCTATGAACCGGTTAAACCCTAACCATCCATCCTATTGAATCTGCATCGTAGATCTGGTCCGATTACAACCCAAAACCTATTAATCTAATTCAGCCCAAGCCCAAATCTATCTGGCTCGATCCGTTTTAACCTAGATCAGTCTGCCCCAGCCCACAGCCCTGGATTCAATTCCTTAAACTAGATCTAGCACAAACTCGAGTTCTCACTCAAGTCTGCTTTGCAACCCAATCACAAGTTTTCTAAAATTAAACTTATGATTTGAGGAATTTACTTATTGATTCTCCTATAAATTGGTTCACCCACAATTAGCGATTGCCTTGTGATTGACTTTCTGTGCTAATTGGGCCAGTAAAGGAGGAATTGGGCAATCTCTCTATCATATGTCCGTGATTGCCCAAAAGCAATTTTGCTTCAATTTGTTAGTTTGAAACAACAATCGCTCAAATTGTTTTAGGATTCTGGTTCAAAAGGCTTGTTGCGATACATATACAAGATCAATTGATAGATTAAGCAAGCCGATCATTGCAATCAAACCAGATTGTGCAATCGATTGTTTGGAAGGAAATGGGGCATGTTTCTGGATCCAAATTTAAGATCTTAAGATCTGGTCCTTGATTTTCTTCTTTTCCTTCATTCTGGTCCATGTCAATTTCTATATACATTTTGTTTGAGGCCCTTAAAGTTTTAATTAGTTCAATTTAGTCTCATATTATTTGTTCCAATCCCTAACATCCCATCTCTTTCAATTGAGCCCTTATTAAGTTTCTAAATTTTAGATTTACCCCAATTTTTGGAGTATTGCATACAATTTTTAAAAATTTTATTTGACCGATATTTTAAAATAAAATTCTTAATTATTTAGAAAATTTCATCAAATAGAGTAATCTGCATCTTCTTGCTCTAACAGTGGAATTTAAATTCCATTCTATCACTTATTTTTAAAATTACTATATTATTTTTTATTTTTCTAATAAATAACAAAATTAATATACCATATATAATATAATATTATATTATATATATTACCTTTATGCTGTTATAAAATAATATAAATATGTATACAATACATATGTAATATATATATTTATACATATTTATTATAATATATCATATTATATATATAATATAAGATATACAAAGTAAAATTTAATATTTTAAGGTTAGAATGTAAATTTTTTTTATTTTTATCTTATTGATATTTTATAATAGAATGAGAATTTATTTAATTTTTAAATATTATTAATAAAGAGTATTTTTATATTAAAATAATTTTTATTTATTTTTCTTACCTCTATTTGAGTGTATCAAATATAATAATAGAATAAAAATTTTTATTCTATTAATTTACACTAAATATAATCTTGTAAATTTTCATTGTATTGCATTACCTATTCACATTTTTATTCTTATTCTTATTCAATTAAAAATTATTTTATTATATCACGATCAATTTATATTATTATAATAAAAAAATATATTTGTGTTTTGATTATAAATTGCTTAATTTTATCTCCGGAGGCCAAGGACTTGGACCGCGACAGAGCATTTGAAATGACTCGGAATATTGATAAAAAATATCTTTTTATTCTGGGAAATAAATTTTTATTATAGAATTTAACACTTTTTCTCCCAAGAATCTGAAATCTATGTAATTAGAGGATCCTGGTCCTGATATCTATGAAAGTTAATGTGATAAATAAAATAAATAAATGAAAAGGGTCCGAATCCCCCCCAGCTCTAGGGGTAGATAACAAGCAATCGGTGCATTATAAAAAACAGGTGGTTTTGTGCCTCAGGCAACAAGCCAATTGGGCTTCTTCAACACCCACCCAACCCCCCCGCCCCCGCCCCAAATAAAATAAAAATAAAAATAAAGTTGGCCCTTTCAGCAAAGGGACAAAGATGTTCTGATAGCTTCTCAATCACACATACCGTGGCTGAAAAAATCACAGAAGTTTTGCAGGAGATCCTGCCCCTTTGCGCCACCCAATTTGCCACGAAAATGATTCTGCTGCCAACCAGTCATTTCTTCTTGCATTAAGGAGTTACGCAATGCTCCTAAAAAAAAACCCATGAACAGCCCTAACCCCCCTCCAGCAAATATTCATCAGCAATATTATCAACCTTCGCGAAGAGACAATTCTAGAAACCTCACCCACTAGCCCCCACCCTCAAAGGAAAGAAGTTAGAAAAAATTATCAAGTCGAACAACCGAGTAACTTGTAATTACTCAAATTATCAAAATTATAAAAATCAAATTCAAAAAAAAACAATTTCTAATTAAGAATATTTTATATTTTTAAAATATATTTATACTATATATATATTTATAACTGTTCCAAGTATATATTTATATAATTATAAATATATATTTGAATAGTTATAAAATTTGTTACTATACATATATATACTTGCAATTATTACACAAATATATGTTTGTAATTTACAAACATATATATGTAAAATTTTAGCTACACGTCCTGTTAGGTAAGTTCTCTAAAAATAACAAATAAAAAATTCAAGAGTAATTACATATCTTCATTTTTTATATTAATAATATTTATTTTGTTAATTATTAGAATAATTAAATTTTAAAAAATTTTCAAAATTGTTAAATTTTACTTTTATATAAAAGCCAGTTTCTAAATAATCGATTTATATACAAAAGTGCGAAATAAAAAAGTCGACTTTCCTGGGAAAGTTGATTCAAAGAAGATTAACTTCCCAAAAGAAGTTAGGCCTCCGTCGATTGCTGAAAAGAAAGGAGAATAGAAGGAGAAAAAAGAAGAAAGGAACGGTGGGGACTAGAAGTGTTTGACAAAGATAGGCTAAAGACAGAAATTGAGTACAGTGGCGGCCTCCGGAATGGATTTGTAGCCGAATCTGAGAACAAGAGTTTTAAGGAGCTCTGTTTCAACTATGGCAGCCCGACCATGAATTGGGTTATTGGCCAGCCCGAATAATTTTTTTATTTTTTTTTGGTTATAAGAGAGGCTTAAAGACCTAAAAAGAACAAAAAAAACTACATAAAAGAACTCCAGGGAGTAGAGACTCTCACTAGATCATAGAAGAGAGAATTCCTCAACTGATTGGGGAGATACGCTCAATCTTTCAACCCATAATTCAAGGATAGACTGAGATTAGTCATAATATCTGCACTTCTATTTGCTTCCCTGATAATGCGCTTTATTACAACTATCCATGCATGGTTAAAGAAAGGCTTAACC